CAGGCAACCATTAATTTGCTAGGTATTTCTACAGATTGGCTTATTTTAAGTATTTCATATCAATGGATTCATATGGCATATGGCCTTTCATACCTGACTTCTTTCATTTAGTATGTAATGTTTTCTGAGTTCATTCATGTATCAGTTATAACATTTCTTTTTATGGTCAAATAATATTCCACTAGGGGCTAAGGATGTAGCTCAGTTGGTAGAGGGCTTGTCTAGCTAGCATGATGGATGCCTTGGGTTCAATTTCTAGCACCGTATAAACTGGGTATGGTAGTGCATGCCTGTAATCTTGGCACTTGGGAGGGGGAGACAGGAGGACCAGAATTTCTGTATGTATCCTCTGCTACATATTGAGTTTGAGACCAGCCTGGAATACACAACTCAGTAATAAATTCTACTATATGTGTATATACTCCATTTTGTTTATCTGTTTATCGGTTGATGGCTGTTTGGATTATTTCTGCCTTTGAGCTATTGTAAATAGTGTTGCTATGGGTTTGAGTGTACAGAGTTGTGGCTTTGCACTTGTTTTCCATGCTTTTGAGTGTGGGCCTAAGGAGCTTCAGAATTGCTGGATCATGTGGTAATTTTGCTTAACTTTGAGAAGATTCATCAGACTTTTCTAGTAGCTGCACTGTATTACATGCCCATTAGCTGTGTTCAAGGGTTTCCGTTTCTTCTCATCCTTGCCAGCATTTTCTTGACCAAAACTAAGTTTTGCTATAAGAATTTCACAGCCTGATACTTCTTTTTTAAGGGACAAAGACTGACCCCAGTGAGCAAGCTTCATCAATCTTAAGACTTGACTCTGTGATGATCTAGCAGTGATAGTGGAGATAAGTGGAGAGTGCTGACCTTATCCAAATGCTCCATGCTCTACCTTCCGACCTCACCTGTTACACTTCCTTCTCAACCACTTCATCTTTTGCCCAGCTTCCCATCTAAAAATTCAGAAACCACCTCTTACCAGAATAGACCTTTCCTTCCCTTTTGTGTGACTAGCCAATGCCAGTTCATTGTTGCCCATCAACTTCACTGAAAACTGTATGTCATGGGGGCTGCTGAGGACAACTGACTGAGTGCTTCACTTTCAGTAAATGACAGGTCATCAGGTGGAAACACTAGATGAGATTAGGGCTGAGGAGGGAGGAGATTTTAAATGGAGTGTTGAATTGAGAGCTAATCCCAGTCTGCTGTCTAGTTCCTTCCCCTGGTGGTAAGCTCCCTCCAGCTGTTTAAACTTGGCCTGAAACTTATAGGCATTTTCAACCCCTCTCCTGTTCCCCCTCCCCACCACTTCCCCTCAGCAATGAGCAAACTGGGGATAATTTGACTTGAAGTCAAGGTGGAGCTCAGTGGAGTGGGTAATTAAGTGTATGTTTTCTTCTAAGTGGCTAGAGGTTATTTGAAATCGTAAGAGTTGCTAAGATGAGGGGGACATAACTGAGGCACGGTTCTTCTTTTTCTGAGAAGCTGGGGGACTCTGAGGAGAGCCCTTAGTAGCTACGTATCAGGGTAAGCTTGCCCGACTTCCTCCCTCAGAGCTCCTTCATGCCCCAAGCTGGCTGAAGCTCCTGGCTCAGTGGTATCAGGCTGGCAGGCTGATGCTTCCTAAGGGAAGCTTTTCCCCTAGGCGGTACCCAGGCATGCTGCACGCTGTCTCCTTCAGCCACAGAGTTCTGCCCTTAATGGCTGTGCAATTTCTTGATTAGAGTAGGCCAAAACGAAATAAAGAAACTCATGAACCTCAACAAAACAACAACTGACCACAAAGAGCAAATGATGTTTACGAGCCACAGTGAAGGGAAAGAATTCAGAAGGAAAGAACCACTTTGGCAAATTCTTCTTACGAGCTCTAATGATATGTGTGTGTTCTTAAATATAACTTGAAATTAGGCACATGGAAACTCTGAGAAGTGGAGACCGAGAGAGAAAGAGTGATGTCACCAAGAAGGCAGAATAGGTAGACCAAGACCCGCCTTCTGCCCATGGAGACCTTGAGCCAACAGCACACAAACCAGACACCCCATGTGAGAGACCCAGAAACCAACAAAGAGGGGGGACTTAGGCAAGCACTTAAGTAGCCACAGCCAAGCCCATTTGGCTACAAGGTGGAAGTAGTCAATTTCTAGAAGTTTTCAAAGAATATGGAGCTAAAGGAGAGGACGCAGACCTCTGATTAAAAAACACAAGCTTGGGGGTTGGAGAGATGGCTCAGTGGTTAAGAGCACTGGCTGTTCTTGCAGAAGACCAGAGTTCAACTCCCACCACCCACATGGCAACTAATAACCCTCTGTAACTCCAGTTCTAGGGAATCCGACGCCCTCTTCTGTAGCCTACCATCATGCCAAACTGTACACTCAAACTGTGAGCCAGAATAAACCCCTTTTCCTGCTGAAGTTGTTTTTGTCTGATATCTTGTCACAGCAATAAGAAAAGTCTCTAATATACCTTCCATCATGCATTCCTTTTTGCTGGACTACCCAAGGGTCACATTATGAAAAACTACTGAGGTGTGACTCTGATCTCTTTTTTATTTTATTTATGCATGTCTGCATCTGTCCGCGTGTATAAGCACATGTGTGAGTGCTAATAGAGGCCAGAAAAGGGTGTCAGATCCCCTGGAGGTGGTTGTAAGCTGCCTGGTGTGGGTGCTGGGAACATAACTCAGGTCCTCTGTACAGCATGTGCTCTTCACTGTTGAGCCACCTCTCCAGCCCTGCTGAACTCTTTAAAAAGAAAGAAAGAGACTGGGTGTGATGGCACATGTTTTAATCCCAGCAGAGGCAGGTGACTCTCTGTGAGTTCCAGGCCAGCCTTATTTACATACTGGCTCAAAGAAAAAGAAAGCAGGGGCGGGGGGGAAGCAGTAATGAAAATGACACCCTTTACTTCATATTTCCCTTCTTTGAGATTTGAAAATAATTGGGAATCACTGTTTCTCAGTGCAGGCTCAGACAGCCACTGTCTTATTGCTGTCCTCCCTTGCCCTGACCCCCATCCTCTCTATCTTCCCCTCTCATATGTAGATAATAAGCCTTGAGGATCAAGGTCATGAATTTTTGCTTCTAGACCAGATGCCCAAAACTTCTCTTTCTAGAACTTGTAGAAAACCTGCCTCATAGAGAAAAGGCAGCCTCAAATAAAGTTCCTTTCTAAAGACATTAAAGATCCAAACTACAAACAAAACCTTCTTTCAGTTTGTGCTGGATACCTTTAGTTGTCAACTTAATACACTTGGGAAGAGGGAAACTCAGTTGGGCAATTTCCTCTATTGGATTGGCCAATAGAGGTGGTCATTTCTGTGAGGCATTTTCTTGATTATTGAATGATATGGGAAGGCTCAGACCACTGTGGGTAGTGCCAACCCCCCACCTCCAGGCAGGGGGATTGTATAAGAAAGCAGGCTGGGCACAGGCCAGGGGAGCAAGCCAGTAAGCAGCACTCCTCCATGGTCTGCGCTTCAGCTCCTGTCTCCAGGTTCCTTTCCTTTCCTAGTTGGTTTTGGTCAGAATGTTTTTTCATAGCAATAGAAAATAAATAAATACATGGTTTAAGCACATTCAGGGACTCTGATGGAAAAAAGGGTTTTTGTTTCCTTTGGAAAAGACTTAATCTTCCCATTCAAAACAATTGAGGCGGGAAGCAAGATGACTCAGTGGGTAAAAGCACTTGCTGCCAAGCCTGATGACATGAGTTTGATCCTCAGGACCCATGTGGTTGGTGTAAGGAGAGAACCAACTCCTGAAAGTTGTTCTCCGACTTCCACATGCGTGCTGTAGCATACATGTATGTATGTACACATACCTCCCCACACCAAGTTTTAAAATGTGATAAAAAATTTGCACTTGTCAACATGTCTGCCTAATGCTATCTCAGACCCATGTTCTAGACTGTTCTGCATCTTACCATGTTTCATCATGCATTCTTCCCGTGCCATGGTACCCTGTGTTTTCCATCATTACCCTGTGAGATTATTGCCCCTCTGCCTCAGAATTGTTAGAAGGAAGCAGCCAGAGGCTGGACTGTCTTGCTCTGGCTCATCGCTAATGACTTTCTCCATCAACGCCACATCCAAGAACCACTGGCCTTCCTGCTACACTACTGCTAATGGCAACCAGATAATCAAAGCCCCAGAGAGGAAACTGCACCTATTCCTGCATGGATGGTGCCTTCCCATCTCCCAGACCCTAGTTCTCAGTCTCAGCCTTCAACTTTAAGCCCTAAATAAAGGCACAACTGGGAAAGCACTCCTTTTTTTAAAATTTTATTATTTTTATTTTTTATGTGTATGAGTGTTATACCTGCATGTAGGTTAATTGTACCCGTGCCGTGCAATGCCTGCGGAGGACAGAAGAGGCTGTCGGATCCCCAGAACTGGCCATGTGGGTCTTCTGCAAGAACAGTCAATGTTCTTAACTGCTGAGCTATCTCTCCAGCCCCCAACACTCCTTTTTTTTTTTTTAAGTGAAGAATTTTTAAAATGGTAATTTAACTTATAATGATGATAAAATGCAATTTCCTGCCCACCCCTGTGTTCTAGTGTCTCCTCTCGCCCACCCCTGTGTTCTAATGTCCTCTCTCTTCTCTCTCTCTCTCTCTCTCTCTCTCTCTCTCTCTCTCTCTCTCTCTCATGCTGTAGTCTCTGAAAAAATACAGCTCAAGTAAATATGACCCTAGGGGATAGTGGATGTGAGAAAGCTGTGTAGGCCAGGCTGAAAAGCTGTTAGTCCTCCCAGAGCAGTCTCCAAGCAAGCAGAGGCATGTCCTGAGGTGATGAGGCAGCACTGTGATTCGGTATTGTGTTGGGTGGCTTGCTGACAGCATGCTGTGTGTCCTGTGGCCCCAGGAGAAATGGCTGGCAAAGGTGGAGGCCACTACTTGGCTTTGCAGTGACCCTTGGTCAATGGGTGAAAAAAGAGAAGACCAGAGTGAGCTGGGCCTATAAACGCATGGCCAATCATGACTTGACACAGTAAATTAAGATTCTGGTGTTAGCTTTGGCAGCACATATACTAAAACTGGACCAATGCAGAAAAGATTAGCGTAGCCCTTGGGCAAGGATGACACTCAAATTCATGAAGCGTTCCATATTCTAAAAAAAGAAGATTCGGGACTGGAGAGATGGCTCAGTGGTTAAGAGCACCGACTGCTCTTGCAGAGGACCCGGGTCCGATTCCCAGCACCCACATTCAATTCCAGTGGATCCAACACCCTTCTCTGTCCTACTGTGGGCACTACATGACATGTGTGCACTTCTATACATGCAGGCAATACACTCATACACATAAAATAAAAATAAATAAAATATATTTTAAAAAAAGAAAACCAAAGTCTGTTAATACTATTATTTCCCATAATGTAAAACCCAGATGTGTACATCTGGGAGATGCTAATGGAGAGATAAAGAAAGTGGAGTTCTATGCTCAGATAAGTTTCAGAAGCGCCAGTTTAGTAGTTTAAACTTAAACAGCTTTCTGTAGTACAGGACTTGCAGAGTCCTCCAGTGGTTTCAAGGAGACCACGCAATAGACATCCGTTCTCAAAAGTGCCATGTATGGGAACCCGTATTCAGTAAAGCAGCTCTTACAACTTATTTGGTAGAAAATGTTTTACTGTTGTCTACTTCTAGACTTTAAAAAAATATATTTTATTTAGCCGGGCATGGGGGTACACACCTTTAGTCCCAGCATTCAGGAGGCAGAGGCAGACGGATTTCTGTGAGTTCAAGGCCAGCCTGGTCTACATAGTAAGTTCCAGGGCAGCTGGGGCTACAGGGAGACCTTGTCTCAAAAAGACCAAAATATAAATAAATATAAATATTTTATTTATTTTTTTTATTTTATGTGTATGAGTATATTGCCTGCGTGTATGTAAGTGTACCCATGTCATGCAATGCCCGCAGAGATCAGAAGAAGGTGTCAGATCCCATGGAACTGGAGTTACAAACAGTTGTTAGCTGTCATGTGGGCGCTGGGAATCAAACCCAGGTCCTCTGCAAGAGCAGTCAGTGCTCTTAACCGCTGAGCCATCTCTCTAGCCCCTAGACTTTTCTTTTTTCTTTTTCTTTTCCTTTTCCTCTTTTTCTTTTTCCTTTCTTCCTTCCTTTCTCTCTCCCTCCTTTCTTTTCTTCCTGAAGCAGGGTTGCATGTAGCCTAGGTTGACCTCAAATGACATAGCTGAGGCTGGCCTTGAACTTCTGGTCCTCTTGCCTCTAGCTCCTGAGTGCTGGGATTACATGGGTGTACTACCACACCTGGCTCTGACTTTCACTTTCTATTGATCTTTCAAACCAAACCACTCCCTTATTTGTATTCATCTGTCTGTTACATGATGGTTTTTTGAAGAAACTCACACATTTGGACCACATCTTAGAAAAGATATGCCCATCTGGTTGAAAAGAAATGAGGACTCTTTAAAGTTCTCAGATAGTCTTATCATCTCCAGTAATAATCATGAGGAAACTGAACCCCAAAGAGAAGAAACAAGTACCCGTGGTCAATCCAGAGCTACGCTGGGCAGCAGTGTTTCCTGACAGCTAGCTCATTGTCTTTCTGTAGGTCCCTCACTTTTCCATGCAGAATCCCCCTTGAGCCTGAGGACAGAGCACCTTGCTTGCCCCTCAGTTGTTTGTTCTTTTCTAAAAAGTATTTTATCATTTTTATTTTGTGTATATGAGTGTACTGTCTGAATGCGTGTAAGTTCATCTGTGTCATGCAGTGGCAGCGGAGGTCAGAAGAGGGCATCAGATTCCCTGGAACTGGAGTTGAGGATGGTTGTTAGTCTCCATGTAGGTATTGGGAAACAAACCCAGGTCTTCTGCAAGAGCAGCCAGTGCTCTTAACTGCTGAGCCATTGCTCCAGCCCCCTCAGTTTGTTCTTAATCCACCTTTCATGAGAGGATTTGTCCAGGTCTTTTATGCCAGCTGCTGTGCCACCTCCACATGGTCCAATTTTGAGTAGATTGATCCCTTGCCAGATATGTTTTGGTAACATTTGATGGCAAGGCAATAAAGTGGGAAAAACCAAACCATCACTCTGAAGTAGCCTCTTCCTTACAAGCATCTTCTTTCACTTGGTTGTCACTATGTCTAGAGGCTTGGCCTGGCCAATGACAAAACGATAGAACCTGGGCCTGGTCTGGATTTTGGTCTGTGCACAGGTGAGGTAGGAACCAGGGCCTCCAGAGACTAATGGAACTCAGGGAAGGGAAGGCAAGCCAGCAGCTTGCAGCACAGCACAGCCTGTTCAAGGGGTAGGACACACCCAAGATGTGACTATGAGCACTTGCCTGAGGTAGATGAGGCTTGGGCAATTAGAACTAAGGACATCAGCAGCACTGAGGCTAAGTTGATGCTGAACTGAAGGGTATGACTAAGCGGCCCTTCCACCTTCCTTATCTAATGTCACAATTGCACTGAAGATCCTTGTAGCGCTAAGCAGAGGTAGAGGCCCAGAGGGTCTTCATGTAAGGAAGCAGTGATAGCAAGAACCAGCTACAGCTTGTGCTTTCCATGTCCTTAACACTGTGATCTTTGTGTGGATCTCTACTTTCACAGATTCCTTAAAGTGGGGGGCATCACCTTGGTACTTCATGTGCTATGTGCTGAGCACAGTGTTAACCCCATGACCCCCAAGGCATCAGTAAACACTCAGCATGAAAGTGTGAACGAGTGAGCTTTTTACCAGCATTGTGGATGCAATGCAGTTTGCAAGGAGGCGATGCTCAGAATACTTGAGATGCACATCCTATGTTTCTGTGGGCAGATACAGCTAGTGAGCCTCACCCCATACACTGTGTTCAAGTCTGTGCTAACCAGACAGCCTGCATATTATGTGAAGCTAAGCTAGCCTGGATAGAAGCAAATGCAGTTGGACCAGGTGTGTTTCCTGTGAATAGTTTGGTAGACACTTAGCAGGCAATTTCAGCTCACTGAGGATGAAAGAGGAGCTCTGGATCCCAATCCTAGTGCCAGAGTTTCTGGCCAACAGTAATGTTTCCAAAGTCACCTAGCAAATGTTTCTCAATTACCACTTGTAATTTGGAGTTTCAATATTGGAAAAGGACACAGATCAAACATTGAAAGGTGTACAACCCCCAAGGTAAAAATAGGGAGTAAGTCAATACCAACTTAATTTTGACTAATAGCACCAGGTTTCTGCCCACACTGGGCACTTGGCTTTTATATTTATGTGGTTCCTCCTCATCCTTTAAAACCCTTGTGTGTTCTGAGTCACCAAAGATTTGGAAGAAGTCGATTAATTTTTAATGCAAAATGCAGGGTTTGGAAGTGCTGAGCGGGTTGCAGTATGGCAAGACTCCAGGCTCAGCCATAGTGTCTGGAGTTAGAGGTTTTGGGATATTGGAGGAACCTTATAGTCACTTAGCTCATCAATAACATGTTGCTTTTTGTTGAGAAAACCTTTCAGACTAAATGTGAATTGCTTCCAAGGGGCTGGATCTGGATTTTGTTATTGTTTTGTTTTGTTTTTTCTTGTGTCTCATCTCATCTGAGTCTGAGTGAAGTCTTTATAACTCATCTGTCTTGGTCGTGATTTCATTGAAACTTATGAACTTTGGCAGATGGTTCCAGATTCTTCTTTTCCCAAAGATGAAAAGCATGTCACTGAAAATATTAGTCAGGCTGAAGAAAAAGCTTTGTGAGTTCTGCATAATCACAAAGAAGGGGAAAGTAGGTCACATTTGGAGCTTGTAGAATCGTATGAAGAAGAAAGTATCAGATAATTTGGTTTTTATCACAGCTTCTTAAGCCAAACTGTTGGTGTCACAGACTTGAGGTCTTAAGAACATTGCTGCTTTCTTGGGGGTTTTCACAGCTTTACAGCAACCTCTCCTGAGCCAGGCTCACACAGACCAGAGCCTGTCACACAGTGAACACTAATATAGCTGGCTGAATAGGATTCCCTATATTTGCTTCAGGGACAATTTCAGTCTCTACTGAAGGACCGGCTTCTGTCCCAGAATTCACCCTGAGTAGCTGCTGTCCCAGATGTCCTGGACCACTCCCACTACCTCATTCCTGGGCTGCTGTTGACTATCATCAATGGTCAGGGATGTAAAAAGAACCAGAACTCTCAAAGAGCTCAGAGTGGACTCTAACCCTTGGCCTGTAAGGTCATGGGATGTTTTTTTTGGACCAGGGGATCTTAAAGAAGATGCTAAGAGCAAGCAATGACTCCACAGAATAACCCACCCTCGACAGAGCCCAGCAACTTGGAACACTGTGTACACATGGGTTCAGAGAGATGCTTGGCTTGCAAAGCAACAAACCAGAGCAGTTTCTCAACAGTAGCTCTCACTTTCTGAGCCTCAGGTTTAGAAAAACCATCAAGCTGCCCTGAGGTCCTTCAGCTATAGGTTTTATCTTGTCCTTTCACTTACATTCACTTTTAACAATTTTTAATTGCACCTCTTTTTCTGTAGGAGTTGTGGTCTTAAAAATATGCATACTTCGGGGCTGGAGAGATAGCTCAGTGGTTAAGAGTACTGACTGCTCTTGCAGAGGACCTGGGTTCAATTCCCAGCACCCACACGGTGGCTACGAACCGTCCTTAACTCCAGTTCCAGGGGAATCTGAAGCCCTCTTCTGACCTCCGCGGCATTGCATGACACAGGTGCACTCACATACATGCAGGCAATACACTCGTACACATAAAATAATAAATGAAATATTTTTAAAATATGCATTTTTTTTAAAGAGCATGTGTGATTGAATCGTTAGGGAGGCTTGCTATTTATGGAAACACTGCAGCAATGTAATTTGTAAAAGGAAGAATCCTTTGGTTGAGCAAATAAGTAGGATTTAATATCACTGCTTAGAGATAAGTCTAACCTATTTGCTGTTCATAAATGAAGAACTTTTGTGACAGTATATATAGTTCTGTTCTATATTTAACAAAAGAGGAAATAGAGTGGTACAAGGGACTGTCTGTGACTATTTTAATGTTCATGTAACTGCTGAGAACTCAGTCTGTGTGGATGCTGCAGTGCGTCTTGGTGTTTCTCCTATGCATAGCTGTCTGTCACCCCTAAACTCATCATCAGCATCATTAGCAACACTGAGTCTGTGCACACTG